ACCCCGGCGGCCTTTGCCGAACGCGAGCGAGGGGCCGTCCCAAATCTGCACCGGCAGCACCTCGAGCACTCTGGCCACCATCCGTGTCCTCGGCACGCCCGCGAGGGTGACGCACCGGTGCGGCGTGGCGGCGAGCTGGGCGGCGATCGGCACCAGCAGCGCAAACACCGTGTGGTAGTAGCTGCCCATGAGCGTCCGCACGTGATTGCGCTCGTCCGGTGGCACGGCAATCCGGAGGCAATCGGCAGGCGGCGTAGCTGGAGGTCCTTGGCGGGCAGGCGACGGAATTGCGCGCGATCGGACGTCGAGCATAGGGACCCCCCGAACGTGCTTCAGCAAGCAGTTTCAGAAGCGCTTTTTCTGCAGCGCTGTGCTTCTCAGGGTTTGGACTTTCTGCGGGGTATGGTATGGTGCTGCAACCCACCTCGAGACCATACCCCCCCCGCCTGCTGACAGACCCAGCCTCCCGGAGACCGGGGATTGGCGGTCAGGACCATACCCCCCCACCCTTTGGGCCGCGAGGGTACCATACCCCGGAAAAAGTTGGAACCCAGGGACCACACAGGCATGTTCACAGCGAGCGATGGGGGCGCCGGTGGAAGGCGTCGAAACCATGGCTCTGCGAAGCCGAAGGCCGAAGGCGAAGCTCGAGAGTGGAGAGAGGAGAGAGTGGGAGATGGACGACGGTGAACCAAGAACAAGATGCAATCGAGCTTGGAAATCATTTCTGCAGCTGCGGCAATAAACTCATCGAACACACGACAGAATTGCGGATTGTGCTAACCTACGTGGGTCGTGGCGTCTCACGGCCCGCACAAACACGCTCGCTCGGAACGAACGAAAGCGGCATGGAATGCGGCAAGCAAGCCCCAGCGCGCCAGTGCCACGGGTTCTCGACCGAAAGGCGGGTGGGTGTGCACACTGCACACGCCGTCGGGAGGACCCCGGCTAGCTGCCGACCCACCCCCTGCCTCAATGATTCCTGCATAAAGACAGGCCGGGGACCCACTCCTTGCACCCATCTCTGAAACAGCCTCACGATAACCGCCAAAGCCCGCCTGGTCATCCCTCCTGGGCCTCATGAGAATCGGGCTCAGCCTTCCATAAGCGGTACCGGACGGCGAATCCCTCGGGCACGTACACCACGCAGGGTAGGCGGCTGTTGTAGCGCACGAGCAGCGGCTGCATGCCAACGAACTGGAGACTCGGCGGTGAGTCGCCGAGCGGAGCCATGCGCGTCGATGCCGCCGCGCCGTCAGACGTCGCGACATAGTAGTGGTAGCCCCACCCTTGCAAAGTCTTCTCCTCCACAGAGCCAGACAAGCGGACTCTGTTTACCC